AAGGTTGGGCGTGCTCCTGCTGCAGGTCTCAGCCACGTCTAACTGTGAGATTCCTGGTGCATGAGGCTGAAAGGCTCTTCCAAAGCTAATCACACGCTCACAGCATTTCCATTTTAGCCAGTACCTTCCTCCACTTGATTCATACAAGTGTCTAGAGGCAATTCTTCCCATTCCCACCACACCTCTCTTCTTTTACTCAAGCACTAGTTATTCTGCTATAAAACTAATGACACTTGTGCAGCCCTGATAACCATCTCAGGCTGCAGGCAGACAGCCCAGCAAATTGCACAGGTCTCTAAGCTGTTCAATTCATTTCTCCCCCTTCCAGAGCACTTGAGGATCACATCTCACTTCACTCTAAGTTTTCATTACAGCTTATCGTACTGCAGCTTTTCAGATGCCTCCTTCTGTCTGCTACCTGCAGGCAGGTCTACCACCCAGGAAAGGTCTGGGCATTTCCAAAGCCAGGCCCAATGCTGGGGCCAGGCTCCCTGTCCCCATATCTGTTAATGGTGCAAGGTTTCTCAGGAAACTCCTAGAGCAGGAAAACACACAAAGATCTTGACACTGGGACAAGGTCAACAGCCCCTGTGCGTATACTTAGGCATTGATAATGCAGACCACAAATAAACACAGATTAGGGACAAATCTGTAAAGTGTGCATGCGCTTAGGTCTTAATGATTCTTTTTTTTATGGCTGGCTTGGACTCATTGAAGCTATGGGCTACTGAAAGGGGAATGTCAGGCAGTCCTACCTCTCCCTCATACCTGCCCCAAAACCTGCTGTGCTCCAGCATGGAGGCTGACCTGCACTGTAAGTCTTGGGGGTGGAAGCAGGCCACACTTGCAGTAATCACCAGCCCTCTGATAACTGAAATTTTCATATGCTCTTAGGTCAGCCTCCATGGAGCTGTCCTGAAGACAAGATCAAGAAGAGAGGCTGAGGTCTGGAGGATACCCTGCTGCTGCTCAGGTCATTTTATGGCCCCAAGCTAGGTGGAAACTCTCCAAACGCCCTGCTTCAAGGAGGGTTGTGTTTCCTAAGCTGCCCGCCATGCTCAACACATGTGAAACTGCAGGGGCAACACTTGGCATTGATCTATGTAAGCTCAAACCCTGGATAACCGGGAAGCTTCTTCCCCTTTTCCCCTACAAGTGTCTGGCCCCACGCGTGCCCCTTATCCAGTGCATGAAGCCTATTCCTGGCAGAGCGTCACTGCACGGAGAGGCCTTCAGCAGAGAGCAGAGACCTTTAACCACTGATGCATCGGCTTAGGGCGCAGGGAGGGATGTCCCAAAGGAAACCTCCCTTCACAATGTCCCTTTCCTGCCCTTCCTACCAGGGATTCAGTGGGGGGTGACCGAGCACAGGGAAGTTTTCCGCATGTACCCAAGACAAGGGCTGCAATTCTTTGCGGGGCCCCTCTCGGCCACGGGGAATTCTGGCTCGTGACATGGTTCCATTGTTCCCCGCGGTGCCAAGAACACGCCGGGATCTTGTCTTTGCGACGGTTAAAGCGCTTTCCTGTTTGTTCGCTCGCCGTTTCCAACCGGCGCGTCCCATGAGCGCTGCACGGGACGTCTCTGCTCGCGAGTTGTTTTGTCCCTTTCGTCATGTCGGCCTGCAGCTCCTCACAATGGGGCGAACAATGTATTCCTGCAGGCAGGGGCGAGAGGGGAAAAAATAACCGCGGGAGGCAAAGCCCATCGCTGGAATTTAGGAGCCGGGGAGCAGCCTCGCGTGCGCCTTTGTTCCGCCTCGGGAAGCCGTGTTTGTGCAGCGCAGACCTGCTCCTTTGCTCCAGCCGCTTGCTTTTCTTAGCGATTGCAGCGTGGTGGCAATGCCACCCTGGGAAGCGGCGGCCCCTGCTCCTTATCGGGGGACGGGGGCAGTTGCAGGAGCAAGGCAGCTTCTCTGCATCTAGGAGGCCAAGGAGAAGCTCTGCTCTCGGTGCAAGCTGAGGCCACAAGTCCATAACAGTGTTAGGAGCCGAACACACTGCCTAAAATGAGTAGCTAGTATTGAAATGACCATAGATATATATCACAATTACTGCTCTGTGGGGGCACTTGACCCTGACACAGGTGTTTCACCCCATCTGCAAGTAAGCTCTTCTTTCTGACTCTAAATGTGCAGCAGGCTTTTACATTGAAAGTCTAGAGCTGCAGGCAAGGCTCTCCAGGCAGGGTCCTGCCCACCTGGTCAGCACAATCCCGGTCACATCTCTGCTCTACAGGATTCTTGCATCCCTACAAAAAGCAGAGAATTTTGCCCATAGTCTCACATCCTTTAAGATCTTGGGAACACCGGTGATCCAGTGCCAAACATCCGTACACATGCTGGTCAGGTTTGTGCCTGCTCAACACCTTAGGGTATTTCCTGGAGGGGGAAAAAAATGAGTTCAAACTCCATTCAGTAGGCATATATGAACAAGAGGGTGTAACATGTGCTCCATTTTCTGCAACAATATAAATCAACTGGGATTTATAAGAAAAGAACAAGACAGAGTGAGAGAGATCTTGGATGACAGGACTGGTTTGTAAAGGTATTATTGTACCTGGCACTGAAGGCAGATGCCTAGCAGAAATCTGGGCACTTGACTTCTAGAAATGCAATGAGATCTTTACAGATACTGGCACCTTCAGGCATTTTTGGGAAATGAAAATCGACAAAGCTGTGATCACCTAAGGATTCTGGTAAAAAGTGGCTTGAAGCCAGACCTACAAAACCTCGGGTGGGCTCAAGACCCCTCTTCTTTTCCAGGGGCATGTGGGGTCTTATGAGGCAAGGTAACCCAAGCTCCTTTCAGTAATTAAATCCTGGCAAGCCTGGATCATGACTCTGTCTCATACTCCATGCAGAGGGCTGCTAGCGTGCACTAGCCTTCCCTAAGTTTTGTTTGACTTAAAGTGTTCCTTTTCTCAAAATTTGTGATGTCGCTTATCCCCTAGCCTTTTCTCTGTGTAATTACAGTTGTTCTATTGCCTTCCTCTAGTGGAGAATATCTTCTTGCCTTCTGCAGTGACCAGAATCAGGCCCTCAGGACCTGCAGCCAAAGGAGCTGCATTATATCACTGAATTGGCATCCGGAATGTCATATAGTATCCTAGGCCTGACATCACTCTGGAACTTGGCACAGCTGGAAAAATGGGCTGTAACAGGTAACGCTGCTATTGTGTTTCCCTGTTGACTTCAGAAGGATTGTTGCACTGCTATGGAGTCAAAAATTTCCCTTCTTTACAGCTCCTCATTTGCCTCTCACACTGAAGTTTTATTTTATCAATTTTATCTTTGCCTTCTCATTATTTTGAAATAATATTTGCAATATTCCTGATATTCTCAAACATTCTCTTGGCCCTACTACTTCAGCTACACCTCTGGCTGCACATTTTTCATTGGCTCTGGCCGTTTCTGCTCCCTCATTTCACCCACACTCAATAAATGGAGCTCTTTACAGCACCTGTGCTCTAATCTGCCATCACAGTCGCTTGGTGCTAAGATGGTCATTTCCCCTGAGCATTTGTTGGATCCCAGCATGCGTTTTCCTCTGCAAGCGTCCATGGCCATTTTGCATGAATGCAGAGGGATCCACACTGCCTATTTGGTGGGAGCAAATGTCCAAGTCTTGTTCCTCGTTTGCAGGAACGCGGCTCCAGCTTCCATGACGTAAGCCCAGCTCAATGCCCTGTTTCTTACTTCTCTTCTCACCACTCCTAGCCCATGTTACACTTCACACAAGACCTTGCACTGATTCCCTGTAATTGGCAACAACTTGCATTGGTGCATGACAACAGTGCCATAAAAACCTAAACAGTGCAGGGTAAACAGAGAAAAATACACTCCCTTTACTAAGAAGCTTTTAAAACCACCTTCACGTAGATTAGTCGAGCCCTTTGCCGGCTGTTTGAGACAGCTCTCATTCCTAAGCCTATTCCACTCCAAGGTCTAGGAGCTGCCCCTCCAAGCTGCACAGTAGCACCTGGGAGCTCTTATCCAGTGCCCAGCACCCGATGCTTTCCCTGCAGGTTTCCTGCTTCTGTGTGACACACGTGATGGGCAACATGAAGCTCCTTTGCCGGGCTCCTCGTGCACCCCAAGAGATGACCAGTATATTTTAAGTTCTTCATATCCTTAAGAATACGCAGCAAGTACCCAGCGTACCATCATTAACGGCAAAAGCAGGCAGCAACGGAGAAGTTTTATTGCTCAATATTGCTCTAATTGCTCAGCCTCACAAAAGACGAAACTGATTTTATTAAAAAAAAGGGTACAGGTAAAGCAAAGACTCTCTAGATTTCATGTAATAGGTGTATTTTACTCTTGCTAAAAGTCACTGGGACTGAACCGCACTCAATTTGCCTTGAACTATATATGATTTTCTCAGTTTGGGTTAAGTGAACCCCGCAAGTTTGCACACTACGGCCGCCTCTTTCCGCGCTGCCCGCGGGGGTGGGGGGTTCGGGGCATCCCCCCGGGACGCGGGTCCCGCGCGGGTCCCCCCGACCCGGCCGCCCCGCGCGCGGCCGCGGCTCCCCGCGCCGCTCCCGCTCCATCTACCGGCCGCGGCCGCCAATTACCGCCCGCTGCTCCCGGCGCAGGGGCGCGAAGCGGCGACCACCGCGCGCGGGACTCCGCACTTCCCCGCAGCCGCTTCCCCGCTGCTCGCGGAGCCACGCGTGTTTCTCCGAGCTCCGCGCTCTGGGAGGCGGCGGCTGGTCGGGGCGGGGGGTGGCGGCGCGGCGGGGCTGTCCCGCGCGGCGCCCACGCGTGTCCGCGCCGCGGTGCCGGTCCCCGCGGTGCCGGTCCACGCGGCGGGGCGGAGCGCGGCCGTGACGCGGCGGCGCCGGCGCCGGCGGGGCTATAAAGCACCTGCCAGGCACCCGCTGCCTCCACAGGCTCCTTGGCAGCTCCCGCTGAAGCACCGCGGAGCAGAGCGGAGGAGGGAGAAAGGGGAAAAAGGAAAGAGGGGAAAAAAGGAGAGGGAAAACATCCCCAGTGTTTCTTGCAAAGCCACCATGCTCAGCCACGCCGCCGGCGCCCTGCTGCTGGCGCTCGCTCTGTGCGCCCTCCTGGAAGACGGTGAGTCCTGGGCTGGAGGGGCTGCGCGGGGCTGCACGGGGTGGAGGGCACAGCTCGGTGCCTCCGCGTGGCTCCTGCCCGCGGCGGCTGCTGCTCCTGGGGCTTCACGCAAGTCCGTTCTAGTCCTGCAGCCTCATCGGCAAGGCTGCCTGTGCTCCCAAACATACTGCAATCCATGTAGGTGTGTGTTGGAGGTGCAGCACCGCCAGGCATGCGGGTGCTCCTGCACGGAGCCCACGGCTCACGCGTTCCTCCTGCCGCTGCAGGTATGGGCCATCCTGCCCTGGATTCCCACCGTGCTGCAGCCGGCACCGCGCACCTGAGGACCAAGAGATGTTCTTGCAACAGCTGGCTGGACAAGGAATGCATCTACTTCTGCCACCTGGATATCATCTGGGTCAACACCCCAGGGTGAGCGTGAGCGCAGCGTGCTCGGGGACGCGGTGGCTGATGAGCGCGTAACTGGCCTTTCGGATCAGGGATGAGGATAGGTGAGAAGGAGGGAGAGCAAGTGCCCTAGTTGTGGGAGATTCTTGCAGCACCTGCTCTGGGGAAGGTGACGAGCTCAGCCCTTCCCAGCTGCTGACAAGTTGGTGCTCCTGCTCAGGACTTGCAGTAGCCGCTGGAGGGGAGAGAGGAAGAAAGTGCAGGATGCTGCCTCCTCCTGGATTATCTTGTATTGAGATTCCTACTTTGGCAAGGTGAAAGTAATACCAAGTGTTGGAACTTGCAGCGAGCCGGGAAAGTTGCTTTTCCCTCTTGCAAATTGCAACCCTGATTGCTGAGTGCCAGTGTGGTTAATTAGGCAGCGGCGGGCTGGCAGCGAGGCCGCGTGACTGCCAAGTCCTGCCCTCAGGAATGCTGCAGCAGACTTCCAGGCAGCTTCAGACCAATGGCCGTCGCTCTGTATCAAAACACACGCACTCAGGTGTGGTTATAATTGTGCTCGCTAATGCACAATTACAACTCGCTGCTTGCGCTGCAAAGAGCTGCCAACCCCAAACACGGGGAGAATAGAGTGTGCTCGAGGAGAGGAGCTCTGAAAGTGTCCCGTGATCAGACAAACCTGTTATGGCCTCCAGATCTGTTGATTTGCAGTATTTCCTGTGCATAGAAAGTGCTGGGGGTGGTGGGGAGCAGGAAGCGCCAGCCCTCCGGGGCTCGAGCAAGGGGCTGATCCGTGTTAGAGGCGGCCGCGCTGCCCGTGCCCGTGGGCGCTGCTCTGGCCAGGGGCGGCACTGGCAGGGGTGTCTGAGCTGCAGCGAGGAAAGCAAACTGCACTGGCAGCCCAGCATGTGCCAGGCCTGGCACCAGCCTCTCCCCAGGGTGGTGGGGTGGGGAAACAGCGGGTAGGAGAGGGACTGAATTTTAAAGGCTTGGAAATATCAGTGGCCTTTTCACCTTCTGTTTATAGATGTCTCATTATTATGGCACTGGCTTGGCCGCCTCCCAAGGTTGTGCTATAAACCTGTGGGGCAATAAAGTTAGCTGCGGAGCTGATTTCCTTTGTTTTGAACAGCCACACTGCTCCCTACGGCTTGGGAAGCCCGCCTCGGCGCCGCAGGAGATCGCCGCGCCGGTGCGAGTGCTCGCGCTCCACGGACAGCGTCTGCGCCGCCTTCTGCCAGCCCAAGCCTGGGTACGTCCCGCGGGTCCCGAGGCCATCGGGGTCTGCCCACGAGGGGCCACCGGAGAGCTCGGACTTAGTAAATCAACCAGCTCCTGTGGGGTGGTGCTTTGCAATGGCTGCAACTTGTGTGGTGGCCCTCATACCCAAGGCAAAGTGTCACCAGAATGTTTTGCTTTATAATAGTGTCTTTAGTGGTTGATGTGAAAGCGTCACCTCCGTCCCTCCTGGTGCTGGGAGGAAGGGCTGGGTGAGCTCTTGGGAAGGGAGACGCCAGCAGGATGTCCCCAGAGGGGAGAGCAGGAGGTGTGAAGCTGGCCTGGAAGCACCAGGTCTTGCTCTGGTGGGAAGGAGGCGTCAGGGGAGCAGCTGGCTGGAGCTGGGGCTCGGTGGTCGGGTGTCCTCTGTGCTTCTCCATAGCCTGCTCTCTAATGCATGAAGGCCCTCACTAAGGCTCCCTCCAGCCAGCAGGATACAGGCATGCCTATAGGGTGGAGAACTGGCGTCAAAGTTACTGTAGAGATCCGTCTTTAATTTCATATCAAAGAAATAATTTTAAAAAAGCGCATTACATGTTGTTATGAATCGAGTGGGGTCTGATAGAAAAAAGACAACAGTAAATATGACCTATAAATAGCTGCAGGTAACCACTGAATAAACACGTGCCATCGGAGATGCCAGAGCAGCGCTCCTCCTGGCACTCGCTGGAGTCCCGGCTGGGTGCGGGTGCCTAACGTGCATCTTCCCTTGCCTGTTAGGTACCTCCAGAGTGCGGAGCTCCCCGGGAGTCCTGGAGAGCCCACGAAGACGCTGCAGAGCAGCTACGTGAGGCCTTCCCAGCACGGCCTGCTGAGAGCTGCCAGGTGAGCGCGGCCTTCCCTCACCAACACTTGTGCAGTGAGTAGTTCCTACTCAGATTTGACCCAGCGTCTCCCTGTGGCCTTCACTGAAGTTAGAGGGCTTGACTCCTTATATTCCCTTTATTGGAGGCTAAAGGCTCCAAAACTGGAGGAATGCTGTGTGGAATGTAGCTCTTCATTGGAGTGTGGGAGGTTGCTTTGATGCAGAAGAGGTAAATAGGTGATGTACAAGAAGGATGGTTGGGAGTGGAGCACACAGGAGAAGTGACTGGGAAGCAGCTTTGGACCAAAGGAAATGGTTTTTCTGGCACTGCAGAACTGAATGGTGGAAGTTATTGCTGGAAGGTGTTTGGACTCCAGAAGTGTAAAGAAATTAAAGCAAATTGGGAAATTCAAGGAGGACCGGTCCACTGGCTGAGTCAAAGCAGATGCTTTAGGAGCAGTCTCTGGAGAGCAGATCTTGAAGTAGTACTTGGGATACTGCAGAGCATGACCCTCCTCTAAACCTCCATCACTGACCACTAGTGGAAACAGGATTTTCCTACAGTTAGAGTTCTTCTGCAACTTAATACAGCCACAACTAGAATTTTTCCCCTGTCCATTATCTACGTTACAAAAGAGCTTGGTGAACAGCAGGTAAATATAATGCAGGCTATTGTTGAGTGGTAAGGCAGCGGGTGGCAGACTGAATGTCTCTTCTGTTTGCAGGGATCTTGCCATATCCAGCTTGCAGTTTGGCAAACAGCAGCACCGTGCTCAGAGGAATGCCCAGCCAACAGCTTTGCCTTGGAAGAAAAACATCTGGAAGAGAAAGAGATAAGAAACGGGTGCAAACCAAGCTCAGCAGAAGAATCCGGAGTCCTGCGGGTGCCGCTAACTCCGCTGTTGGTAGTTAGAGCTGAAGGATGGCCACGGGCGGAAGGGGGAAGAAGTGGATGTCTCGACGCTCCCGTTGCGTGAACCAGTACTGCACTGACTGTTGTAAAGGGAAAAGAGAATCTCTCTGTACAGCCATAGGTGTGTTGCGGAGCTGCGTTGTGCCTCCTTCGGTCAGGCTGGTGTTACTGGTAGCGTATCGGCTAAACTCCGCGCTGGATACCTAGAGCGCTGGTCAGCCCACCCGGGGCAGCTTGCAAAGCAAACTGCGATGTGCAGTCCCGGACCTGGCAGCACTGAACTCCCGTGTCACAGGCCTGGTCTACTCTGCCTTTGAACCATGTTTGAACATGGTTCCAGCTCTACTCCGTTCAAACATGGTTTGGATGGCCATTGTAGACGGGGATAAACTGACTCCAGGAGGGCCTGTCTGGGCCCATCTTTGCTCTTTTATTTTCTCTTATCAGACAGAGTGATGTGCATATGAATGAGACTCCCATGATAAAACAGCACCCAGCTCTTACCATAATTAATCTTCTTAAAACCTGAAAGCCAGCTGAGTAGCCAGCGGCAATCTCTGCCTAAACAGGAGGACCATCCTTAGGTGGTTCTTGTCTAGATAGAGGATGGCTTGTTTACATCTGAGCTTGCATCAAATCCAAGCATGACCCCAGCCCTCAGAGCGCAGAGGCATCAGGGATGGGGAGGCTTAAGTAAAGGCTTAAATTTCAGTAGCACCTCCTGCCACAGCTGGGCAGGAGCCCAGCCTAGAGTCACCTGCAACCTGGGGAAGGAGCAGCCTAGGTTAGGTGCAGAGCCAAGCTGCTAGTCTGAGCTCAGCGCTACGAATCTCCTTAGACATACCCTTTGTGGAGCAGAGAACTTCTACCTCTTAACCCAGCATTGCAGCTTGCTTTCAGCTCTGCCTGAAAGGGAAGGCTAGAGGCAGAGAAGATGGGTGGTGGGCAAACAGCATGCAAAGGCTTGCTTGCTTTGCTTAGATGAGGTCTCTGAGTCAGGCTCTGTAGTAAATGACCAGCCTGAATAGCATGTCACAGAGAAGTGCAACCTGAATAGAGAGTGAATGAGGCAAGGGGCAGCCGGGTGGCATTAATGTGCAGAAAAAGATCTCCAGGATGAGAGCATGGCACTGTGTGCACATCCTTAGCAGGGGATGGGTTTAAACAAAAGCCAAGATCATGGCCACTTTGCCAGGCCTGAGCTGCAAAGTGCTGCTGGGCCCAGAGGAAGGGCAGGGGTAATTTGGGGGAACGCTGAGCCCAGAGCCTAGAAACCGTCCTCAGTCTGGAGGCTTTGGAGCTCTATCGCAAATGCACTTTCATTTGCCTGGGCAGATTAATTTCTGTTCTAAAGTTCCAAGTGGCAACTGTCATCTGGGTGGTGTAGATAAATAATTGCTCTCCTGGAACCGCTGTGTGGTCTCCCTTGCTGCCCAACCCTCTATTACACATGAAGACTTTAAAAGGCTGCTTGAAGTTGGTGGTGGACCAAAATCTGTGGCTGCTGCAAGTGTAGTCCCATTGGACGTACAAAATATTTCTTTAATTTTATTGTAAGCCCTAGAGGGGGAGAAAATGAGGCAGACTGATTGTATCATAAATGAAACAACAGGCAAATCATTGGGTCCCCAAAGCTGCAGAGAAACTTTTTCTATTTGACCTTCTGAAGGTTTCAATCATTCTAAAAAAAAAAAAAATCCTGAAAGGGTTTGTTCCAAAGGAAATTTTGCACATGGTTTAATGTGAGCCTAGTAATTTAAAATAAAACTACTGCTGTAAAATACTATGTATATCCCCTTGTATGTGTATGATGTCTCTGCTTTTAGTAACTTATTGCACACATTCCATATGTAGCATCCTGACACCTGTATATTTATTTAAATCTATTGGTTTTAGATGATAATTTTTGAACTTTAATTTGTAATAAATAATGACAAAAGTCAATTCTATTTTTCTTCCTTATTACACATCTCGGTGGTGGTGGCCGGAGCAAAGGAAAACTGGATGGACGTAATCCTGTGGAAGCAGTGGGGTTGCAAAGCTGGGTGAAAATGGGCACGCAAGGGCGTTTTGGGAAACATCCCTAGCATGCTCAGTTCATAGGGAATTCACAGAGCTGATTTAAGCCAAAAAAAGCAAACAAACAAAACAAACCCCCCATGTTTTTCTCTAGCACACATTTGGAGGCTTTGCATAACTTCCTGGGAGCTGTGTGGTGGAAGTCTATAGCCTTCTCCTTTCCTCTAGCCCAACATCCTTGGCTGAACTGCATCTCCCATGACACAGGACTTCCCTTGGACTTGGTGGCAGGTGAAAATCAGATTTCTTTGGACGTGTGGTTCTTCTGATGTGACTTTAAATGTCTTGACAATAAAATGAGCTAAAATGCCAGGTAAAGTGCCAGGTAAGATGAAGGGATAAAACGATACCTTGCAATACAGAAGAGGCTTAAATTTCCTATATAGAAAATCTAAGGTGCTAGTCTTCCCCTTTCTGCTCAGCTTTTCCCAGAACCAGCCCAAAATTTTTGCCTGTTTTCTGCATTTTCCAAGGTGTCCTGCTGCAGCTGATGTCAGATGGTGCGAACGAGGAAGCTGAGGGCTGGTGGCATTTCATTCATTTCCTGGGAAAGATTTCCACATCGTCAAGAATGTCTAGTAAGTGAGTATTAGTCAGGCCCTGCCTTTTTTGTCTTTCTTAAATTACAGAAGAAGTATGACCTTAGTCAGCCTGGAAGAAGGCTGGCCTTCCCCTCCTTGTGAGTGAAACCATCCCCATGCGGACAGGCCGAGGTCTGATCATCCCTAAGGGTAATAATATGAGATGAGTTCTCTAGGGAGAAAGGCTGAAAGTCAGCATTTCTGCAAAAACAGGAGAAAAATACCTCAGGCCAGGCATCCATAACAGGCCCTAAACCCCAAACCTGGGGAGAGCTCCCTGTTAGGCTCCCAAAATGTCCTACAAAACCCTGGGGACTAGTTGAGCTTGGTGGTGATCCCATGGCCTTGGCTGGAGTAGCTTCAAGGTCTGTACTGTGCCCAGGCCTTGGAGGACAATTTTAATTACAAGAACTAAGATAAAGCTCACCTAAGCTTTTACCTAAGGGTAAAAGAGAAGGGAGATCCTTAAAAGAATCTTAATTAAGATTGAAATGGGAGATGACTGTATTTATTTTGAGGTTATTGAATTCAATGATAAAGATTAGGTACAGCAGTTTGAAGAAGGCATATTTTATAAGTTTTCATATATAAAGGAAAGAACAGGATAACAAGATTTTATTAAGGAGGGAAATTGAGGAAAGCAGGTAACTTCCTCAGTCAGTTCTAAGTGTACAGGATGCTGTGTTTTCTTGGTTATGAGGTTTTGCTTCAGCAATCCTCCATTTGATTGACAGATGCCATAAATCAAGGACTCCTGTGCCCTGAGTAGGATTCTGGGAGGCAGAGAACACTGAAATGCCTCCCATGAGAACTAAGTCTCAGGCTGAACCCTTAACCACTTCCTCTAAGAGGGCTTTGGTCCGAAAGCACGGGCAGAGACTACAGCGGGCAGAACCAGTGTGGAACAGTTGGGTGAAACGTTCCCCACGTGTCACACCTCCCTGGGGCACTCTCGGCTGGAGCATTAGATTGTGTCGGAACCTCCTTCAAATCCCTTCTCAACCTCACACCCACTCACCGATGAGTAACTGGGGGCCTCTCCCCCACCTGGCCTCCGGAACAGCTTGGAGGTGACCTTACCACTCCCTCATCAGAAGGAAATAGCCTGTTCCTCATCACTTAGCTGCTCCAGAAGGCTGCCCGGTAAAGGAGAGATGGTTTCATCCATCCTCCGGAGGGAGAGGCTTCCTGAATTGATGTGACTGACCCAAAGACCTGCAACGGAGCAAGCCCGCTCCTCTGTCTTTATCCCTTTGTATGCAATGCTCCCTTTGTATCGGCTCTGGTCCCATCCTAAACTTCAGTGAGCTGATGGGTATCACTCTAGTAGAAATCCAGTGGAGGGAGAAAACAGGGAGATTTCTGCCGGTTTAGTGAACTCCGTTGGGCCAGAGAGCTCCAGAGCTGAAAGACCAAGTACCCCTAGGGATCTAAATACCTGGCTGAGATTCTGAGATGTGGGAGATTGCCATAAGCATCAAGGTTTTGCAGGTGTATTTTAACATAGAAACCAGTTACGGTGATTCCAGTTTCTCATCTCAGATAAGAAATGAAGGCTTGGGGTGGAAGCTGAAACAAAAAATTAAAATGGGCACAGCCAGGTTAAGTAATCACATAGTTTAATAGTGCAGTCGTTAGCTGCACTGAGTAACGAATAGAGGCTCCTGCCCCACCCTGGCAATGAGCTCCAGGTAAGTATATCCATAATCCCGCAGAGCAGCTCGGTGCAGCGTGGGACACGTGGCACCCTCAGTCACAGGCTGTGCAAGAGGGGAGCCGAGGCCTTCAGTTTGCCCTGCAGCCCAAGAGACGTTCAGCAGAGCCATGTCCCAGCCCTGGACATGCACCTTCTGCAGGAGCCCGAGGCTGGCTGGAGCTTTCACGGGCTCACACTTCATCTCTGGCAATGATTTCCTTGGAATCAGCTCGTTGAGGCGTATCCTCCCTTCAGCCTTGCAATGCAATCCTAAGGGATCACGAAGGGGAAAGCTACTCTGCTTTGAACAAATAATATATATATATACATCTATATCCAGTTGCATAATGACGCAAAGGACCCCATTGGCTGTGCTGAAAGTATGCATTCCTGTGGTGTTTATGGAGCGCGCTTTAAAAGCAGTTTTGGATATAACTGGTGCCATATGAAGGACAGGATCTGAACACCTTGCAGAGTAAAACCTTGTGAATTAACAGGAGAACAACCTAAGTGCTTGTTGCAAAGGAAAGAAAAAACCAAAACCAAAACCAGCAGGGCTGATCAGAAAGCCTTCCATGAGCTCCAGATCTCATGTCTTTGGCAGCCTTGCTCTGGCAATATACCTGGGAGACACGAGAATCTATCAGAAGATAGAAAACCAGCTTGCCTCTCCTCACAGAGTGCTCCCTTCAGCATATCCATGCATTCATCTTATTGCGACCCTAAGAGCACATTAGTTGCAACATGTGTTAACCAATTCAATAAGTCACCCTGATAATTTTTTATTTGTGGTTTACAATGCACACCATGAAAATCTCCAAGAGTTCATTTCAGCAGTGAGAGCATAACAGTTTAGACAAGATCTTAAATGGTGAATAACCCTCTCCCGGGGGATTTGATGGCAAATGCGAGGTATGCCTCTGTGACTTTATTATTAAAACAGAATGATCTCCCTGCAGCTCTGTTGGAGGAGGAGGAGAGAGAGCACATGGAGCAATTAAGAAAAATGTCTTTGACCTTCAGCAACTTAATCAGCTGCCAGTGTGCTTCCTAATAGTGTGCTAATGGTTAAGTTCTTCTGGATGCCATAAAAAGTGCTATAACTGGAGGCTACAATAAAGTGCTGATCAACCCACCAAGTGAGTCAATCTAAAAGTAATATCTGTCTTCATAATGACTATAATAAAACCTATGTGAGAGCCAGGAGATGACGTGAATAAGAATGCTGCTTAATTATGCTGGGCTGCAATGCTTGATGGATTTGTCACTCTTCTCCAAACTTGCTTTTGGGTAAAGTTCCCGTTCCTACTTATGAGGCGATGGAGCCCCAGGAATGTCAGAGCTTGAGCATCGTTATCACAAAGGAGGAGTTCCCCAAAGGCACATGAGAGGACTGAAGAGGGCCTGGAGGACCTGCAGGAGATCCCAGGACTGCTGTATTTTGTGGATTTCCATGACCTGAGGGCGCTCAGGTTCCCTCTGCTCATCTTGCAGGACTGAACAGAATTCCACTTGCTTCAGCCCTGCAGGGGCTTCTCTCTGTCCCTCAGAAACTCGTTTTCTCCTGTCTTGCTCTTTGCAGAGACCCAGGTGAGTAACAGGGACAGATTATAGTCCACGAACTGTCTTTGCATTGTCTGGAATTCTGCTTCTGGAATTGTGTGTCGTTCCTCGCTGAGGAATTCGGAAGGAGTGCAAGGTGTTCGTGGTGCCAAGCAGCCGTGACATCTGCCGCTGCCGGCGGAAGGAATCATTTCTCTTTCTTGTTCTTGCAACAACAACAACAATAAAACCATGCTCAGGGTTTTGGGATCCCTTTGAGCACAAAGCTGCTGACCAGGATGCGAAGAAACAGGAACACATTTCACAAGCCCAGCGTGAAGCTGGTGGAAAACATGCTGCAGCCTTTCAAGGAATCGTGGAGCACATTCCTGCCCCATCGGTAAAGAAAACAGGATGCAGGCCACATTCCTGCTCACATAGACAAGGCTCTCCACACCAGCACAAACACATTTGCTCAGTTCCAATTAAACCCTGGCTTTATATCACCTTGCTGCTGATAAGGGTCTGATTAATGGAGGAATTGTCTTTTTCCTTTTTTTTAAAAAAAGTCGCTAGTGCTAATTGTTTTTTCCCTCTCCCATTTCTGGTTTGAAAGGCGCTTTCGAGGAGGGCTGCTGATTGTGCTGGAACACTCAGTCTCTTCCTGGTTTTGTTTTTTGGGGCTAACCGCTGCCACTGGGACCAGCAGGTCCAGAGGACAAATCACCTCTGCGGATACCCGGCAAAATCCTGCCCTTGTGCCTCCCGGTAAACAAGCGCGGGTTCCTGCGCCTGCTCCTGACACCGCTTGCAGCCAGAACAATGATGGGGTGACTTCTCGCCAGTGTTGTTTCCTCCAGCGCGCCGGCTTCCCTCGCGCAGCCTCGGCTGCGTAGCAACAAGCCAGCAAAACAAAGCCAACCGGTGCAAGGCACTAGAAAAATATTATCCCGGTCCACAGGGTGGGGCCCCTATTCCCATTGGCCTTGGGATAGGCCC